ACGTGCTACAGGAGTTGTTGGAGACTGCGGGCATTTTCAGGAGACAGTCAGAGGCTGGAGACACATTACATGAGACTGCTGGAGATCACTTTGATTACAGCCCTTTCACAAATTCAGGCTTTCACATTCGTTCACCCTAGAAATTGCTTGTATCACAGCAAAATCTATTATACAAATTCAGAAGGAAAAAAAATCAGAAAAAGAGAAAAGAGATGCACAACACAGAAATTTTTTTTTTAACTGCTACAATCTTGTCTAAAGAATATATTTATCATTGATGTGAGTAAGCACCGAGGTAAGGAAAATGCAGGCTACTGGGCATCCAAGAAACCCACAATCAATGCCAAAGGGCTTCAGGTTAGGCACTAGGGCCCTTGTTAATGAGCAGTGATAAAAAAAAGTGTGCTCTTTGGACGCAGCTGTCCTTAGATACTAAATAAAATAACTTAGTTATTTTATCCTTAAAAAGCAATTCCAGGCAACAAATGAAGCCAATCAGTGAGCTACTAATGCTATCCAATACATATTACACTTGTGCTGAAATAAAAAAAGTTCACTTAGTTTACCTTAATTGGAGTTCTCTGATGCCCAGTAATCACTTGTGGTATTGAGTCCCCAGAAACCCACTTCAGAATGGTATCACCGTCCCAATCTAGATTTGCTGTCCCATGTCTCAAATGGACTTCATAGGAATTCATGATGAACAAACGCTTGCAGTAACAAGTTCCTATTGACCCTACTTTTCTACAGTTTTAGTGTCACTATCAGCACCTTCCTTCTCTATATGGACCACATTTGCTGCTGGCCATATAAGCTCTTTACCATATGCCTTTGTGGGCATGTGATAATATAGTTTGCTGTATCACTTTAAAGAAAATACAGAGGAACTTTGGAAGTTTCCAATGTTGTCCTACCCTTCTGAAAATACCAGATCCTTGGCTGTCATACTGTTCTTAAGGCTTCAGTTCTAGGTGGTCTGCATACTTTTTCCAGGTTAGTATCTTAGAAACATTCATGCAATTAGTATTTTCAGAATGAGGCAACCTAAATACAGTATTCAGTACAGGCTTCTATTAATTGTCCAAAAAATAGGCACATGACATGTGAAGCTAATGTGAATTAGAAAAGTATGGCATAATTTTGTATGTATACATTTTCAGCCGAATAACCATTAATTGCCTTAATTAATAATTAAAATGAAGTGCATGTACTCATAGGCACCGTTGAGGTAGCAGCCCCTATCACACAGTAAGAACTATAAAAACTGATGTCTGATTCATAAGTGTAGAATACTACAAATTGCTCAATTTTCTTCCATTACCTTGCGGCAAGTTAATTGCATCACAGTGCTGTGTAATGCTCAGCAATCAAAAAGAAGTCAGCTTTTAGTCTAGATATGTATGATATGATTTGTAGCTATAGTAGGATTACTGACCATCATTATGTTTCCACTGTTGTCATAAAAAGCACTATATGTAATTTGGTTACAGAAAGACCATACCTCTGTCTCATCCATTATGTGTAATAATAGTCAGCTGTCCAAAACAGGTAGCTTTGCAATAGCAAGAGCATCACTAAGAGACACTTCAGTTGTACTGCACTATGGAGAAGTTGTGTTTAGCTCTACTGTACACACTTTATGGCAAACGTTTGTGACGATCACATCAATATGACCGTGTTTAATTTCCTGTTCCAATTTCCTGTTCCATGGGCATTAATATGGAGTTGCCCCACACCCATGGGCTATAACAGTCTTCACTGTTTTGAGTAGGCTTTTCACCAAATTTTGGAGTGTTTGTGGGAATCTGTGCACATTCATCCAAAAGAGCATTTGCATGCTCAGGTTCCCATTTTGGATGAGAAGACCTTTATAAATCATATTAAAGGTTCAATAGAATTGATTCCAGGGATCTGTGAAGGTCACCAAAGTTAATTAACACCAAACTTGTTAACTTATGTCCTAATGGAGCTGACTTCTTGCACAGGGGCACAGTCATGCTTGAACAGAAGGTGATCTTCCGCAAACTGTTGCCTCAAGACTATCTAAAATATCTCTCTCTCTCTTTCTCTCATTCAGTCTCTTTCTTGCACTCTCACTTTCCCCCAGCTCCCCAGTGAATAGAGTAGCCATAACTTCAAAGGTATGTCAGTAGGAAACATCTTTATTTTAAGCTATACATTAAACAATCTTATATCCAGCAACGAATAACATTACCCCGACATAACATATGTAAATTATGCTCCTTTGATTAAAATCTGTACACAGACATTACTGTCTAACACAAATATTTCATCAAAGTAAAATTACAGGCAAGAATTATTACAATGGATAACATTACAACATGGCTCTTTCCTGAACAACCAACCCCATGCTTTAGGGCACGGTGGCGTCATAATGAGCTTCACTAGGTATTTTATATTATAACTTCTACAGACAACAATTTATGACATATTTGGATACATTCAAATGGAATACAGGGGAATATGGTCCTAATGTAAATGCAACATTGTTGTATTGAGTTTTTAATAGCTTCCAGTTAGTAAATTACACTAACACTGTTCATATAGACAAGTCCTACTGCTTTATAGTTATATAATTATTTAGAAAATGTTAAGTTTCTAAATAAATAAATTAAGTTTCGAAATATTAAGTTTTTAAATACTGCTATTAAAAATGTAATTATTAGTTTTCCATAATCCCCTGCACACCAGAACTAAGAATAGGAAGGACAGCACTGCAAATTAGCCAGGTTGTATTTCTTTGCATGGTCTAATATGATTTCAGGGACCAGGAGCTTGTAAACAGGAGACTCCTTTATTGACCATGCAGCAAACTAAAAAGAAAGAGGTAGCCAAGCTATGAGGCTACTTTCCCAGCTACGCAGTGTGACAGAAGTGTGTGAATCACCAAATTGATGAACACAGTAATATAAACATATACATTATAATAGCATACAGTATGTATATCTGCGGTGTGTATAGCTATTTGGCTGCAGTTTAGCTTAAATGTATCATGATCTGCTTTTGTTAATGGTAACAGCCTCTCCTAATAGCACCCCTATTCCATCAAAAATCTCGTTATAAGCAGACTGTGCATTAGGATATAAGTCAAAAGCATATTTAACTCTTAATTGTGTGCAAAAGTATTTTTCATATTGTATGATTTTTAAGTAGGTAAAAAAAGATTAACAAGTGCTAACATTCTACAACAAAGTTCAAAGGTAGGGTGTCATGTATTGCATGCCAGGGCCTTTTCTACAACCTGCTGATTAATCAATGTTTCTTTTAATAGCACAACTATGCAAACGCTGAATGTTTCAGTGTCATTGCCCACAAACTCTGCTAATCAATCCTCATTGTTAGAAACCAGAAATGTATTATTGATTTAACCATTGTGTGAGAAAACATGAAAAAGCACACTAATTTCTATACTAAGGCTCGCACATAACCACAAGAGAAAATTGAAGCATTGTCTACACAGGAGCCAATCACATTCCTTTTATTTTTTTACCAAATGAAACAGTTGACAAGAATGACTTTGCTCACATATACATTTGATATAATCTGCACTTTTCAGTGGCTCTAGTTTATGTGATCCACTTTTTGGCTTTGTACCGTATGGGGATAATTTACTAAAGCAATATAGGCTGTTCACTTGCAAAGTAAATTTTTATCTAACTTGGTCAATGAGGTAAAGCCGTGCTGACTTCAATCATTCAATCATGTGCAAGCAGAAATCCAGTATCTTTTGGTATCTTCCTTGCATGTCATTGGGTTTTTAATTGCAAAGTCAGATTTTACCACAATTCCCTTCCAAAGTGAACATACTGTACTGCTTTAGTAAATCAACCCCTTTGAGTTAACCATGACTGCTATACATGTTTCTGGCTATAAGTAATTTGATTTGAAGATCAGGTAAATGAACGCAGACAGAGTTTTCCAGTCTGCAGAGAGTCATACAATTTATGAAATATGACTGCTTGGGTTCATAAACTGCTTTGCTTAGATTAAATAACAAATTACAAAAAGCTGATTCTTCTGTTATAATCTGATGTACTATGTATTTTCCTGATTAGCAAGTGCCTGGTGTTTCATTAGCATACCTCCCAACTTTCTGAAATGAGAAAGAAGGACGCCTTCCAGCAAAATGTGTTAGGCAATGGACACAGCCCTTCCATGGCCACAGTTATATGGACTATTAAGAATTTATATGCTAAAAATAATTTGTTAAACCCAGAATTGTTTGTTTTACACCACTGCTTTTCCTTTATACTGGCTTTTTGAAATAGCAGACAAGGTGGTTCAGAGATAAGATAAAGGTTTCAGTGTAAAATAACACTTTTTGGTAGTCAAGTAGAACCTGTACATCAGACCACAAAGGGACAAATGAAGAGAAAAGAGAGATAGAGGGATTTGGTTCCAAATGAGGGACAATCCCTTTAAATCAGCAAGAGATGGGAGGTGTGCACTAATGTGGATGTGTGTGTTGCTGTTCTGGACAACACTCACTTTCATCCAGCTTTAATACATGTGTTGTACAGTGGTTGGACTTAACTGAGATTTGCTACACAATGTAAATTCTTAATTAACACTAACATCGCCTCCAGTGGGTGATTGTGGGTTTGTAACAGTTTTTGTGAATGAGCCAGCAGGACCTGCAACAAAGCCCACAGTTGATCATGGGAGACGTTTCGTGGATGATAACGCATTGAATGATCACCCATTAAGCGAAAATCTTACATTTTTAGAAACTATATGCATGGTCACTAAGACTGTGTCTTAAGAATAGACTGCAAGAACATTAATGGGCATCCAAGTAGTAGACATGGCTTTGTCATAAATCACCATTTCCTTCTCTTTGGAATATATATGATTTGAAATAAGCTGATGCTTTTAACTTTTAATAAAAACATTTATGTATATCGTTCGTGCCTAAGAGCATACCATCACATTATCTGTACTGGGTCAAAATATCCCAGGATTCTGTTGCTACAATAGTTTGCTCTTTACATGACATATTTTATTTGGCTTCACAGACTTTTTTTTGACATCACAAACATGCACAAGTTTCAAAGTACCCAAGCAGTGACATGCTTGTAACACTATTGAATGAAAAGCTTGTTCCCTGCTATTGCCCACAGCTTGCAGGATTCACTAGTTCTCTTGCTTTGCTTTCAGTCCTCTAAATTGTTCATAAAATCACTGTTTGGTCAATGAGAGTCTCATTTCATCCACACTTCTTACCCCAACAACATAACATATAAAAAAAATGCAAACAAAATCCAAAATATGTATAGAAAACAAAGTAAATCACTGTAATTAAATAAAGACAGTTTTGTCAAAATAAATATCTGTAATAAAATAAAAGCAGCATTGCCTGCTCTAGTCAGTAGTTTTTTTTTTTTATCTCCCTGCCCATTACCAATATGACTTTGTATATGCGTTGGCAAAGTCATTGCAATCCAACTTTACTCTGTACCAGAGAACTCTCATTTCAAATAACATTTATGTAGTTGAAGGCTTCCCCAACACAGGGGAGCCTCTTTGAACTGTATTAACTATATGTATGTCAAAAGCAAGCTAATTTCATGCTTTGCTATAGTCATATGGACCTCAATAGCGTCATGTTGGGTATAAGATCAGTCAACAAATTCTTCACAGAGACGGTACCTGAAACTTTTCTTAAGCATCACCTGAGAATATTCAGTTTGACCTGTTTCACCCATTTGCCAGTGACTCCCTAATCTGGATTACATTGCACAGTTCTGAGTGAATATTCCAGCTCACCCCAATAAAACAGAAATGCATGCAAGACACACACCCATCTAATAAATAAGAGGAGCCGGCTCAGGACCAGATCTGAGCCACCGTACAGTTTAGATAAGAGCACACAGACATTTAGTTCTTAGCTGCGGCCATGCACAGTCTATGTCTTATTTATTAGGCACACTGAGGAATGAATGGGTTGCTGTCAGTGCTGAGGCCTTTCATCTTCTTGGTGCTTCCACCACTGGTCAGGCTGACAAGGTCCAGGTAGAAATGTGATTTTAGAAAGCGCCGATAGGAATCCTTCTCCATGAGGATAAAGATTTTGTGCTGGGCCTGGTCAAAGCAAGAGTGTGTTGGCTGAAGTATGCTCATTGTTGTTTCCTCTCGAGTAGTTGAATCCAGATTCACCTAATAGAAGAAGAAGAATTAACAAGGCTTATTATGTGATAAGATAATGAGAGCAGTAGCAATCGGTACGAGAGATTCTCTAACATATTATAGTAATTAAGTTCTGGGAAACCCAGATGGTTGCTTTGAACTGAGTAGCCAATTAACAACTCATGTTCAGTGTCAGGGATCTACAAGTCTATGGGGAGCTCAGATGCATAAACAATTATTTTTAATCCCAGCAATCAAGTTATGAAACCAATTATAAAGTAAGAATGAAGTTCTCAAAAACAGTGACAAAGAATATGATTTATACATTCTGGTTGAGTGCGCTACAGCAACAAGCTGTAATAGCTTGCTAAGGAAAACAATAGGCTGTTCTGAAACCCCAGCGATGTTCCCTATTACATGAGGCAAAATGTCTTTCAGCTGTTATATTCAGTATAAAATGCAACCAGGGATTCTTACTTCTCTGGTTGCCTCCACAGAAATGAAGTCCTCATAGATCTTTTGGGCTTTGCTTGTCATCTTTGCTGTAGATTTCGTTTTTTTGTAATTCTCACATGCCAGCCAAAAGTCAAGGTTCTCTTCACTGTATTCAGACTGAAGAAATGATCTGAAAGCTACCAGGCCACCTACAAAAAAAATGAATGATTCTTTAAATTATACGGATATAACCTAAATGTTCACAATAATATTATGCCTTAAAGAAACTTTTGCTATTCTAAAGCATGTAACTATAAATAAATACAGAAGAAATGTTTAAAATATAAGGAACCAAAGACAAATGATCCAAAGTGTAGAGGAATGTTTGGGCAACATTAATGTGGATCCTTGAAATGTTGCTGTACAGCATACAGTGTAAAATAAATAAAGGAGACCTGATTTAAAGATGAGAGCCTGACAGCCGTTCTCATCATATGTCTAATATCTGAGCATCTGTCTCATGTAGTGGAGGTCAGCAAGGAGCAGAGCCACTTGAATATGGGAACGATGATAAAGTGCAGCTATAAAAAAAATTTAAATCACTCTTCGTCTGGGGACCGGTAGCAGGGGTCTGTGTCTTGTATCACATCCAAACCAAGGTCATTTCAAACTAGTGACCTTTGGCTGACGTCATTGGATCCTTTTGTAAACCTCGAAAATTCCTTGAAATGCTAGGGCAATGCCTCTAGGACAGTTTTATTTCTCACGTCCCAGTATTTTGGATGTCTCTAGCTGACCTAAGTCACGTATACACAGTTATGGACTAGCGCATGGAAAACTGGAGCTCGGTTTCATCATTTAGTTAAGAGCTTTAATAAAAATTGTGATTCTGCTACGAATGCCAATGAATTTTGTCTGTGACCACCTGAGCATGTCGGGAATTGTAGTTGAACATCACAGGAATAGTTCACATCGAAGGATGGCATTGCATACATATTTTATTAAAATATTTGACATTTTAAGATTTATTTTAGTTTGCATGAGCCAACCACACAGGTCAAGAGCTAAATGGCAAGGTAAGGTATTCTATAATGAAAGCCAACAATCAGTCACCCACTATCTTCTCTATACAAAACTACCATTTTATTAATCTTAGCAGGATAACTGGTATATCTGGCAAATGTCTTGGAAATCTGGGCAGTAATTTATCCTTTCAGACGTTTGCTAGTATTATGCATATCAAAGTAATTAACGTCAGTAGTTAAAAAGGTGGGCTTATTAAGATCAATACTGAATTATGTAGTGTATGTCAAGGTAAGACCTTCATATACAAAGATATTGCCATTTTTGTTGTTGGAAAGTTTTGACACCATTCAGTAAGTAAGCTAACGTAAAAATATTTCCCAGCTATGGTTATCATATTCATAGTCATTTTACAGCTAAATATGTTATAAAATAGTACTTTGAAGTCTGGAGGTATATGCACTAAAATTGCTGTGTTTCACCCATTTACCAGATTTGGAGTCATATAAAACAGAATGCTAACGCATTTTGGGGATTCCGAGGGCCCCATTTATCAGGGCTAAATCAGGGCTAAAAGAACAAATCATATACATGATTTTATAAAAGTATATGATTTTCTCTTTTAGCCCTGACAAAGGTTGCCCATTGGAATTTACAAACATGTTGGCTTTCTGCTTTATACGACTCTGAATAACAAAAATCTTCCAAACCTAACACTCTAATTTTGGCACTTTCTTTCTTACACTTCATACCTCTTATCTTCCTGAGATGAGAGGCAAACTTTGGCCCCTGCTTTCCAGAGAGCCACATAAAAAAAGCCCTCTACATCATATAAAACACCCTATCAAGCTCCCCAACATTACTAAGGGCCCAGCATTCCATAAACCTACCCTTTGCATAATTGATCATGTATAAGTTTGCTCTACAACTACCTATCTGATTCAGAGTTTCATGATTTAAGTTTCCAAACACAGGTTTAAATGTTATTGGCATCTTTAGTGCATTTCCAATTTTTCTTTTCAGGAAGAATTATGTGTGGTATGTTCGAGACCTGTGTGTTTTCTTTCAACTGATTTTAAATTCACATCAATGTGGTTGTCATACTTACATTCACTGTTAAAGAGATTTTCCAAAGATTCTGCCCATTTCTTTATTTCATCGTAAGTCAGCCTGAAAAACAAAACAGGGAAAGAAATTATTCTATGAACACTTAGAGAATTATTCCATAATTTGTACAGATTCGTTGAAAAGTGTAATTGAACAAAATCACAGATTTACTTTACAAATGGTGCAGGGTATTGCACTCTTACCCACAGTAAACCACTGCAGATGAGACTCTGCTATACTAAACCTCTAACATTTTGATAAAACAGAATTCATGTATTGGTTAAAGCTCAACTTTAGGCAGGTAAATGCACAAATTAAATACTTAAGGGAGCTGTTTACTTGCCAGATGATTTGTATTTCTGCCCATCCAGCACTGAAATTTACATAGCTCTGCCACACACAACAGCTGCCATTAAGTTAGCCTGGAGTTCAGCTTTAAGATCTTGTTGTTTTTTTTTGCTTTAACAGTATATAAAATACTGTTCCTTACTGGTTTTTCTATTTCACAGTTCAGAATATAAATCTAGATATGGTATTTTTGTAACACAAGTAAATGGAATCAGACTAGGTCTTATAGGGAACTTATGTGGTAAGGTGAATAAGCAGGAATTTTATAGTGACTAGAGTAGGGCATGTTCAACAGGTATTATCAACTGCACAACAATAATTAAACTGCAGCAATTAAGTTCTATTATGCTTAATTAAGTCTTTCTGTGCAACATGCACATTCAGAGTTCTCTTGATTTTTTTATATTATGAGACGTTAAGCTTGCTATAGGGATTTTACTTACACTGTAGCACTACTACATCACTGAGCCATTGCCAGTACCACCATGACTTTCAGCCTAATGGCATATTTGGTTGGAATTAAGCATTATCTTACCAGTCGCCTGGGAGTTATGATTAGCAAACATCTCAGCTTATTGTATTTTACTGAGATAGATCTTTCTCAGCCCTGAAATTGCCATTAGTATTTAATCTACGAATAATTGGTAATTAGCGTGCAGACAAAACACACACTGGGGACAGAATAGGCTTACCTCTGGCAACCAGGTTTTTCTTTCTTCACGCAAGTGCTATTATCACAGCCATCCGTTTTCTGAAGCAGAAAGCCAAGTCGATGCTTCATATCTTTGGCACTGTTGAAAGACATTGTAAAAGTTTAATGTGAGCATTAAACCGATCTACGAATTCAAAGTGTTTGAAGCATTTCACACAAATCAATCGGTAAGGCTCTGCACCATTAATTTGACTGGTTGTTGGGAAACAAAAAATGTTTTTATGTTGCTAGTAGCTTATTTGATATTCCAGTTTGGGCTGGACGTTGATGGCCTGAAGCCCCCACTGCTTTGATGCATCAGTAACTTGAGAGTCAAGATTCCTTGCTGGAGTACAGAGTTTAACATCATACTACCACAACCACTCCTTGCTAGTTTATTCAACCTACTGGCCTCCAACTAGGACTTATCCTTGAAAACATTATTTTAATGAGCCTTTATACACATATGGTGCCTGGCAACATAAGGGAATGTTTGCCTGATCTGCCCATGTACAGTTGGATTAGGGAATTATTCCATTGTTTATAGGCACCTCAAAGCTAACCAATGCTTTTTCGTCAGGTCAAGGTTAATTGGCCGGGATGGATTTTCCTGCCCAATCCCTAGTGTTTCCCCTGAGACAGACCAGCTACCTGTACTTCTCCCCATGGCACAAACATGTATTTTTCTCCAATGTGAACTTGCATATTGCAGAAAGATCTTTTATTACATATTTATTGTTGAAACTGGGACATACATACATGCCCTCTAATGTTTTTAAGTATAGGGTGGTTAAATACTAGCTTGGCCTAAGGAAGTTAGTGTAGACTGACGCAACAGTTAGATGGTAACGTTAGAGGAAACATGAAGAGATGGCTGCAAAACTTAACACTTCTAATCTCTAACCTACTTTGTGGCCATTTATAGCCCTTTATTGTATACCCCTGCACTGGTGTTTTTTTTAAAATACCTTGCCAGCATGCTGTAGGTAGCTGGAGACCCTTGCTTTCTTTGGGGAAGAAGTGATCTCTCTGCAGAGGTCTGCCACATCCCCTGCTGAGTTGGAGCATGAACTTTGCTGATTGCAGAGCTACAGGAAATGTGTTGGGCTTCTGCAAATGGACAACTGCTTCCACACAGAAGGCAAGGGTTCTACTCTTCAGCTGTGAGCTGGCAGGGGTCATGTTTTTCTACTCAGGCTGTGGCTGATTTCTAAAAAAAAATGAACAAACATTGAGCAATTTGTGTTTTGATATACCTGGAATGTACTTAGCTGATTTAAACTGAAAGTTCTATTGGGCTTCAACTTGTCCTTTAATGCTTTATTAGGCAGACAGATTTCCATGTGTCAAATAAATAAAAGCTACCATACAACCATGTAGTATGAAGGACTACCTACAATTTAAATGGACTGTTCTGAACTACAGCTTCAACAGGCCATACAACTTTAGAAAATCTAGCCAACCAGGAAGACTATACCAAGAATTTGACATATAACTACTTCAACAGAAATAAAATTGCTCACTCATATCTATTATACCGTGTACATTGTAGCGAGGCAGAAGTGATAATTTTTTATCTGTGCAGAAAAAGTCGACTTCATCTTGTAGTGATATGAATATAGTGTTGGCTTTGTGCTGTATCACAACTGCATGCAATTGTCGGTCATAATACGCTGCCACTATTCCATGTAATATGAACACCTTGACTGCCATCAACGCTGTAATTAAAGGCTAAGCATTTAGAATGTCCGTCATCATGTCAAGGTAATAGCGTGTGCTACGTCACTTGAAAGTGTTCCAGCATGCATTTGCTGTAGTGTTTCTGTACCTGATGTACAATAGTCTGTATATCAGAAAATAATGCACTGATGTGAAAGGATGCTCTGGGAGTGAGGAGCAATCCTGGAAAAATAATGTTTGTTACCTAACATTTGCCAAGGTTGGTGGAGCAATGTGCTTGCATGGGAACCTTTCCAATTCAGCAGTGTTTTGGGCTAAATTTTACATGGACGGCAATGAGGGTTGCTGTTTTAGAAAAAGGTGCCTACTAAGATATTTGATGATGGCCAGTTGTCCATGCACGTCAGGACAGAGCAATACTATTGTTGCAAATGACTGTTCTAAAAACAGAGGTTTGCTTTGGGTGAACCATGTTTGTGAAAGGGGAGCTCTACAGCCATTGGTTGTCCCAGCAAGATAAAATAGGGATTGGATGGGGAAACCCATCCCACACGTTTTGACTAATTCCCTGCACAGGATCAGGCAGGATGCACTGTTGGAGCCTGCAGACATATAAAAGGACTCCAATCCAACAAATCAGTCAAATGTTTCCATATGTCTGTAGACCACAGCTTTCCCCCCAGACCACATCTTCTAGAATGCAGCAAAATGGACAGATTTCCAGTCCATGCTTCGTCATGTGATACATGGAAGAACTAAGATTTAAGGATCTGTGGAAATGTAATAGCTTGAGGCAAAGCAGGGAGATAGTCAGGTCAATGAATTTTATATTATCAAACTTCTATAATATTGTACAGACACTTGAAGTATCAGTCATATAAAATGTTAATAATATGCTTGTTGCCCATGACTTATGGATCATTGTAGATAACTGCACAGAGCTGTAGCCATCAAACAAAACATGAGCATTTAGCACCAGACACAATGGGCACTTCAAAATTCAGTATATGCATAATGAATCCTATCTCCCTAGCTGACAATTTACCTGCCAGGCCCAACAATATCAAGGTTATCAAAAAGTAGGAACTGCACTTTAAATGTAGGTTTTAATAACAGGAAATGACACATGTTGCCTATCTCCTAGCTTCAAAGGTCAAGATAATACGTATTGTACATTGCTATAAAATATAAACTAGTTCCTTCTAATCATAATCTGTTGCAACTGAAGAACGACTGACATTTAATGATGGAAAATCCTTGTTACATACAACTACACTATATATCATTAAATGCAATTTGCTTTGCTGTAACACCCAATAACACATAATTTATTAATTTACAGCAGTATCCATTACCAGCACGTAGTAACAATAAAATAGATAGCCGTGTGATTATACATGTGTATCTTAACAGGTTAATGCCCTGTCACACAATGACACTGGCCATTAGCTATGATCCATTATGTCATAGTCATATATAAACCAGGTCTCATCTGAAATCTCTCTGTGATATGGGCCAGACATGAACCTGCAGACACAAGAGGCCCCTCACTCAATTAACCCTGTCTAATATCTCCTGCATCAAGAGATGAATACTGTATACATTATGCAGAGGAAACAGAAGGGTATTCTGAATTTACATTAGATAGTGGATCTAATGTATAAACTTAGACTAGAGAAAATATTGGAGATGTGTCCTTAGCAAACATGCAGATGCTTTCCCCATGTTATCATATAGTGAAAGCAATATCTGGCTTCTATGACCACCGCTTTAATGTATCTACATTTCTTCTATATGTGCTTTCTTATGTTCTCCTGATTCACAATGCCCACAATGGCCCTATTCAATAATGAGCACTACTTCCTCTGTGCCATAATCCATAGAAACCAATCAGAATTTATCTTGCTAATAAATTTTGAGAAGGTTCTATTGGTTACTACAGCTAAAGGGGAACTGGAACTAAAACTAAAACATACCTGTGATTTTGGACAGAGTGGTGATTGGTTAAAAACTCTGTCTGGTTTTTATTGCTTTGTGTTACAAAGGAGAAGACTTCTCCAAACGTCCCATCCTGGAGATACAGCTGGAAATGAGAGGAAATCTCCGAAAGTGGGGGAAATTTCACCTCACCACTTTACTCCTGTTCCTATGACATCTTTACAATTGTAGATTGCCATTCACTTTTGTCTTGTGACAATAGTCAATAAGACAAAACATGAGAGTGAAACTCTCCAATGAAAAACTAATCTTAAAAAAAAAAAAACATTTGAACTGCAGTTTCAACTTTATGAATTAGTATTTGTTATTGAAGGAGGTCATTACTGTTACCATTCTATCTTGTTTATTCTCTAACCTGGTTATCTGGTGACTGCTGTGCCTCTGCTCTCTGTACTTTTCCTCTCCAAAGCCGCTCATCCATGGTGTAACAAGCTTTAGGCAAGTGCAAGTTTACTATTCATCATACTACATCTCCCAGACACTGGATTCCTGTCATGCAGCACTGAGACATTCTTCTCAAATATTAACCAGAGATCCCCCTGTGAGAGCATTCTTCCCTGACAGGCATCAGATTATACCCATAATGTGTATACTAGCATTTATCAACTATTAGACACATAACCAAACATATGTATTTATCATTTTGCTTTTAAAGTAACAAAAATTTATTTCTAGGTATTGTGGTTCTCCATGATTAAGTTAAAAGGTTTTTATCTAAGGTCAGTGTCATACACCATGCTGAATTTATCACTTTGTAGCCTATGATAAGTAATATGCATTTAAAAATCAGCAGAGGCTTCTTATTTAGATCCCCAACATTTTTGCAGAGAGCGGCCTATCATTTGTAAAAAGTTGGATGTCTGGACAGTGCTCTGTGTCTGGAAGCTGTAAATAATGATTCCAGGTTTCAGCAGAGTGAATTTGTATTTACTTAATATTATTACAATCAATTCTAAAATGATTTGCCTCATATTTATTCCTAATAGTTTAGCAACGTATAATTCCTGATATTAACAATTAAAAAGAGAATGTTATAATAATGGGAATCTGGAAAATGTTCCCGATAATTGCAGTACTATTCTGTCTAAACAATGCTCCACATATTGTATGAGTTCAGTTGTGTCACTTATTTCCTTGTAAATCAAAGTAAAATGTCATAAAAAGGTTTAATAGTCATTAGGAAACCAGACTTATGACATTGTGAGCAGTTATGAGATGGTGAAGGTAAACCCGTATCTTCCTAGAATACTGGGGCATAGAACAATCCAGCAGTTAGCACTGGATATTCTAAAATAAAGAATGATGTTATTAATAGAAAGTTACAACTGCCATAATTGTCTCATGACTTTTACCATCAAAAAGGAAAAACAAGAGTAACTGGATTATACCATAAATCAAAATAAATATCCACAATGTTTCTTGACAATAACACTGCAACTAACGGCACACATTTCTTTCTACACTTCCACTATTATATCTCCTTTATCATTACACCCCATAGTACTCTGCTCTTTGATTGAAAATAAAAATGAAAGATTAATGCAGATCAAAAATGTACTAATGAAACTCAATCCCTATAAGCAATTAAAAAAACAGAACAACATCTTTATACTAAGTAATCCAGCAATTTATGAACTAATTCCTGCTTAGTAAATATCCCTATGTTAAGCATTTTATGGGGATTGGGGATTGATCCTTAATGACATACTAAACGTTCTGCACAAAAGAAGCTAATCTGTCAGTTGGTTTCCATATAAGTCTCAAACTGTGTTTAAATGTCTATAATTATAGGTTCTCAGAACTTTCTTACTGTTATATAACAGGGATTAATCTCCTGGGCCCTTTGTCCCCACCCCCTGAAAGAGGCTCTAATGTTCAGATTCATCCATGTTCAATCAATCAATAAACCAATCAATTAATCAAATATAATGATTATTCAGTGTATAGAGAGAGAGATACCTATATGTGAGACCCCATCAAATCTGAGACTCAAGCAAACTGTATCTGTATTTCCAGAGAGAGAGAGAAGGAGAGCTAATCTAGCTATACCTGAGACCCCAGCACAGCAAACTCTCCCTCTCTATAGATCTTTATCTCTCTATAGATGAGAGAGATGGAGAGGGAGAGGGAGAGAGAGAGAGTGGGGGAGAGAGAGAAAGAGAGAGAGAGAGAGAGAGAGAGAGAGAGAGAGAGAGAGAGAGAGAGAGAGAGAGTTTTCAAATAAGAAACACTACATTGCTCCTACTAAATTTTCTTTGCTCTTATTTTCTTTGCTGCTCTTATTCAGGTTTTCCTACTGGAGTCCGTGTAAAGTGCATTATAGATAGATAACGAATAGAAGGAGAAAGAGAGAATCTAGCTATAGCCGACACTCCAGCAAAATACTATACTGCAATAATCGCTAACAGTATAATAAATAAAAAGGAAACACATAATTGAAAATCAATCCAATCGTCCTGTAGCTGACTGCAGTGCAATGAACAAGCAAATGCAATGGGCAAATTTTTTAATGGCACAAATATGATGCCAGAGATAACAGAGCCTATACAGTCTAAGTGAGTCAAGCATATTGGGCATTGAGCCAACGGTTTTACGTGTAAGGAAGCAGGGTGAAATGCTCTGCAGTCCCCTGCACGAAGCTATAGGGCACCTATAGATGCCTCCAATAGACGAGCCCCCCGTGCACTGCAGCGCTCTGCGTATCTCTGCTATCAGACGCCTTGCAGCGCATCCCCCATACACGCAGCTCTGCAGACCGCAGCCTCACCTTTTCAAGCAGGTGGCAGGGAAGGAGGTCACCCCGGCTAGTCCTTTGCACATCTTGGCTGTGAGGTCGGGATCCCAGACGAGGAGAGAGTTGCTTTGTTGCTTTGGTTCTATGTCACTGGATGTGTTTGTCCAGCTTGTCACTGCTCTGCTGTTGCTGCTTCCCATCCTCTCATCTTTTTATAGCCTGAAACAACAGGACTCAGAGGCAAGCAGCAGCCAATCACAGCCGCCCCCTGATCTGCGCGCAGCACTACGCCACCCTCTCTGTCAGCATCATCCCTCCCTTTCAGCATCATCCCTCCTTTTCTCTTTTTTTTATTTTCTTTTTTTTTTAAAAAATTTTTTCCTCCCCTCCTCTTGGTTTAGCAGTAAAAAATAAGTGTTGACGTGTGAAGGGGAGGAGAGGCAGACATTAGTGATCAGGGAAGATGTGCTAACGTTAAACTTGAGAGCCTGTGGGCTGATGTATAGCAAAGTCTGGATATGTTTATCCCACTCAAAGACTTTTATGGGAACAGGATCAACTTTAATACTCTGTTTGCGAAAGGGTGTTAAGTGCTGCTGCTGAATTCTGATTCAAGATTTTATTAATTTGCTGGCAGAACAGGAAGTTTCAGATTGTTCCATTCAATGGTTGATAAAAAGTTGCTTAGAGGAATAGCAGTGATAAAAATAATTATATCAGATTCCCATAAAGCAAGAGCTGGCATCAGACATTGCCCATGGTATAGCATGGTAGGTTAAATCAGGTGGACCATGGAAGAAATCATAGGAACCACTACATATACCGGTAGAAGGAGAGGCTAATTCAAGTTGTGTAAGCCCCCCATACCCCCACCCCCCACGTCTTTCCTGCATATCAGCCAAACTTTTAAGCCAGGGTTGCCCTTGCAATGTTACAGTCTGCAGTGGGTGCTAATGTAAGAGAGAAGGTGAAAAGATCTAAACCTATCTCCAGGTTAAAAAAAAAAAAGAAAAAAACCCTTGCAGCAGGGCTACCCCCACACTGAAAGGGATAGCAGCCTGATATTGTCTCAGGGTGATGTGTAAAGGCCTCTCATTTACCCGCTGCCCTGGCAGTCATGGCTCACCTCTCTCCCCTGCACTCAGGCTTGTGGACTGTCCCTTGGCATCCTTACATATAATGTAGTGCTATGGGTTCTGCATTGTACATGATCACATCAGTAGACTGTCAGAGCTGAAGGGGTAAGAAACTGCGTGGATCAGGTAAGTATTGGATACTGCAGGGATCAGATAAGTAAAAGTGCTTCATGCAGACCCCCTAGACCAGTGGTCCCCAACCCCAGGGCCGCGGACCGGTACCGGTCCGTGGATCAAATGGTACCGGGCCGCGGGGCCCCGCACTGCTGACGGGCTTCACAGTAAGGGGGCGGGTCCTGTAACTCACCTTCCCTCCCGGCCGCGTCCATAGTAACAGGCGGCGGGAGGGGAGGTGTGTCACAAGCCCCGCCCCCTGCAGTGAGTGCACACAACTCCCTGGCTGGGTAAGTTCGAGCGCGGGAGGGGGGACGGGAGGCAGCAGCAGCTGGGTACAGATATGTCGGTCGGTATCTGGATGGGGGAGTTTGTAGAGGGGTGAGAAATATCTGGATAGGGGGGTTATAGAGGGGTAATAGATACGTGGTTGGGAGGGGGGGTTTGTAGAGGAGTAATAGATATCTGGATGGGGGGGTTGTAGAGGGATAAGGCCTCATTCACACACGAATCGGCCTGCACGTACAGCTCCGTGCTGCGTGCGGGGCCGTACCAAGTAGCTGCCGGGAAGGACAGGTGCTGCGTGTGATTAGAACGCAGCCCCCGTCCTTCTCTATGGGGCTACGCGGCCGTACGCCCCCCTACGCTCACCTCATTTGCAGGTCCGTAGGGGTGCGGGTGATCGTATCCATACGCCGCCGGAATGGAACATGTATGCGTCCCGGCCAGAAAACCTGCACCCCTACGGACCTGCAAATGAGGTGAGCGTAGGGGGGCGTACGGCCGCGTAGCCCCATAGAGAAGGACAGGGGCTGCGTTCTAATCACACGCAGCACCTGTCCTTCCCGGCAGCTACTTGGTACGGCCCTGCACGCAGCACGGAGCTGTACGTGCAGGCCGATTCGTGTGTGAATGAGGCCTAATAGATATGTGGATGGGGGGTTGTAAAGGGGTCATAGATATGTGGCGGGGGGGCGGGGGGGGGTAGTAGTTGTGTACAGCTATTTCATGCTTTTTCATGTAATTAGACAAGTGGATTATAATGGGGAATATTACACTGTAATGTTCCCTATTATAATCTATTTATCTAATTAAATGATTACAGGTAGGCATGTGATCTATCAAAGTTTGAGACTACGTTAGAATGTGTGACCAGTGACGTGGTCACACATTTTAACGTAATCTCGCCCAGTTTTTCGGTGGTGGAATAGGTGAAGAATTCCAACGCTTTCATTTTTTGGTGTAACTGTATTTTATTTTGAAGGCATGTTTAAATACAATTAAATTAAAATATTAAATCAAAACAATCTAAAATATAAACAATCAACGTCCCCCCCTCAGCGGGCCACGATAAAATTATCAAGCGTTGACCGGTCCGCGGCAATATAAAGGTTGGGGAGCACTGCCCTAGACATTAAGGAGCCCCACTGCATGGGTATTTTTTTTTTACCATGAGATAGGCTTTAAGGGGTCACTTTTCTACGGACCACAAATGTAAGGGGTCCCTTTTCTATTGCTAACAATGTAAGGGAGATCTTTTCCACTAACAGCCACCATAGTGCACTCTCCTGTGTACAGGGGATCTGCTCCACTTACCGCCACTGTAAGAAGGAATTTCTCCACTTACGACCAATGTAAGGGGCATTTTTCCACTAATCACCTATGTAAGGTGGCATTTTTCCACTTACCACCAATGTAAGGGGAATTTCTCCACTAATTACCTATGTAAGGCAGCATTTCTCCACTGACCAGTAATATCAGGGAAAACTTTTTGACTAACAACCATGAGAATGCATTCTCCTATGTAAAGGGGATCTTTTCCACTTACTGCCAATGTAAGGAGGCTTTACTCCACTTATCACCAATGTGAGGGGACATTCTTCACTTATCACCATTCTAAGGAGGCATTTCTCCACTTACCACCAATGTAGGGGCATTTCTCTACTTATCACGAATGCAGGGGGGCATTTCTCTACTTATCACCAATGTAAGGGGGCATTTTACACTTATCACCATTGTAAGGAGGCATTTCTCTACTTATCACCAATGTAGGAGTCATTTCTCCAATTATCACCAAAGTAAGGGGGCATCCTCCACTTATAACCAATGTAAGGGGGCATTCTCCACTTACTACCAATGTAGGGGCATTTCTCCACTTTTTACCAATGTAAGGGGGCATTCTCCACTTACCCCCAATGTAGGGGCCATTTCTCCACTTTTCACCAATGTAAGGGGGCATTTCTCCACTTACCACCAATGTAGGGGGTATTCTCCACTTGGCACCAATGTATGGAGGCATTCTCCACTTACCACCAATGTAGGGTGCATATCTCTACTTATCGCCAATGTAGGGGGCATATCTCTACTTATCGCCAATGTAGGGGGCATATCTCTACTTATCGCCAATGTAGGGGGCATTCTTCACTTGGGACCAATGTAGGGGGCATTTCTCTACTTATCGTCAATGTAAGGGGGCATTCTCCACTTATTACCAATGTAGGGGGCATTTATCCAATTATCACCAATGTAGGGGGCAACTTATCGCCAATGTAGGGGGCATATCTCTACTTATCGCCAATGTAGGGGGCATTCTTCACTTGGGACCAATGTAGGGGGCATTTCTCTACTTATCGTCAATGTAAGGGGGCATTCTCCACTTATTACCAATGTAGGGGGCATTTATCCAATTATCACCAATGTAGGGGGCATTTCTCTACTTTGCTGTCAATCAGAAAAGGTATATTTGCAGTATTACAGTTATGAAGATTATTTCAAGAGGAGAGCTGAGTCTCCCTAGAGAAAACATACACCTTATGCTCAGGAATTGAGAAAGTGTGGTCTTAAAGCCCAACTGTGTTTATTTTTACAGATAAATTATCTTCAAGGCATTTAAAAAGAACAGCTCTCACTGCAATATTAATAATAAATTACTAATAATGCAAACAAGGCTAGTATTTTTTTTCTGCCACTAGATGTCGACAGTCTTCTGGGCTGAATGTGCCAGCGTTTTTCATCCCACTTCCTGTCGGTGCAGGGTATAATGGATCTGCTCCTTGGGGAATGGGGGGGGGGGCTTCACCACATCTGCACTCCCTGTAAAATGATGCAGGGTTCAGTGGTAATGTCATTATTTCATCATTGCTCTATGCATCATTAAGGACAGCCCAAAGGCGATGAGGACCATTAACATATTCTCAGGGCAGCCATCAGAAATTTTGGGGCCCCTTACACGGATAGCTAATAGTGTGATTATCTTAATACCAGGTCCTGTATCTGCCTACACAGGGAACTATAAATCCTTTGACCCTGCTATTAAGACTGCATGCTATTGTGATTACCTTAATACCAGGTCCTGTATCTGGCTACACAGGGAACTACTAGTCCTTGGATCCTGCTATTAAGACTGCATAATATTGTGACTACCTTACTAGCAGATCCTGAATCTGCTTACACTGAGAACTACAAGTCCATAGATTCCGTTGCATACTATTGTGATTACCCTACTAATAGACCCTGTATCTGGTTACACAGGGAACTACAAATCCTTAGACACTGCTATTGGGACTGCAACCTCGCTCTCCCTACGAACTTCCAACCGCACCATCTCCCTATTGGTGCCCCACGCCGCTTACCTCCTCTTACACAAACGATCGATGAAGTAAAAGATTCCGTACCCTCCTTTGAATTACCTGGAGAGTGTACTTTGGAATCGCACACTGACTAACCGTAACCGGAAAATAGTCTCCGCAGTTGAGATCCTAGTTGTACTAATACAGAGTGTTACAACTAATGATTTTAGGACAGTGGTGGAGCACCAAGGCCCAGTTGCAGCGCCGACCACTGTGATCCTGGTAGTTCTGCCACTGACTCCAAGCTGTAGAGAGACTACAATCTCAGCAATACATTATACAGCAATGCAGAATATCATCAGCTATAGAGGACTACAAATCCCAGCAATACCTTATACAGCAATGCAGAATATCATCAGCTATAGAGGACTACAAATCCCAGCAATACATTATACAGCA